TATGCGCTACATAAGCCTCCTTTAAAATTAAAACTGGCCCAGGGACATAGCTCAGTGGCATAGCCCCTGCCTGGCAAGCACAAGGTCCCAAGTTTGAGTCCCAGTATAAAAAAATAAAAAAATAAAAAAAAAAAAAAGAAAGAAAGAAAAAAGACAAATCCCCTGGCCTCACAGCCTGCAGCTGATGTAGGTCTCCCTGTCTGTGCCAGGCTTGGCAAGCTGGGACTGGTAGTTCTCGGGCCCTGACTTGCCACGGGTACCCGGGGGTGGTGCTCAGGACAGCCAGAGTGGCCCATCCCAGGGCTGACCCCAGGGGTGCCCGGGCAGCTGCAGTGGCCAGCTCCCTGCTATCACCATTCCTAGCCCCTGCTAGGCTGAGACAGGCCACTGGGAAAGTCTCAGGGTGGACTAGGATACACAGAGGGAGGGGCCCATCACAGTGCCTGTGAGGCCAGCGCAGTGGAGAAGGAAGAGTCACAAGGGGCCGGAAGATGGAAGGTGCTGTCCCGAGCGTTGGCCCCGGCCAGCTGCTCACTGCGGCCGGAAGCAGGGTGGGCCCGGCGTCCACCTCCCATGCCTTGTTCCACCCGTCCCGGTTTTCAGAGAGTCACGGTGTACCTTGGAGCAACACCCGGAGTGTTTCGATCTTTCCAAGGCTTGGATACTCACAACCCATACCTGCTGTGAAAACATTTGCATATTCTGTATACAGACGCACGACCCAGCGGCAAGAATCTCCTCCAATGGGGCCCACGTTCCCCCGGTGCTGACACGCTTGTTCCTGGGACCACTCATTCAGTCGCTGTCCCCACGGGGAGCTTTATGCTGTGACACCCTTGCCTGTTCTCCGCAGGCGTCAGGTACTGGCGCGCAGTAGGGCCAAGGCAGCACGGGTTGGAGAAATAACTTTGTTTCTGTCCTAGCAGTTTCAGCCCAGGATGAGGCTCAGGATGCAGCTCTGGGGTACAGAACTTGCCCATGACACAGGAAATCCTGGGTTTGATCCCCAGCACTGCATGCGCATGCATGCACGCACACACACACACACACACACACACACACACACAAGCCACCGTTCCAGCCTCAGTTTCCCCACCGTAGAGGATGGTGGTGCGGGGGAGCTGGGCTCCATGATTTCCCGTGGCCGGCATTGTTCTCTGGGTGCAGCTCCCTGCCTCACAGGCAAGTCTCATCGCCTCTGCTGCGCGGGATGCTGGCAAACTGCAGGGGCAGAAGGAAGAGGGTGGGGAGGTTTGCCCTTCATTTCCGGGGTGTCCTGGCTGCCCATCTTCTTTCCCACGGTGTCCCCCAGGCAACCATCCCTGCCCAGCTGCAGGTTCTGTGCGGGTTTTCCTGAGGCCATGGTGTCTTCTTTGGTCTTTGTAGGAGCTGATTGCAGTAATCCTCTAAGGTCACGACCAAGATTCAGCTGGTGTTTGCTTTTGTTTTTGGATTCAGGCCTTCGCGCCCTGTGCACAAAGCTTGCTGATAGAACGCAGGTTCGCGCCTCATCACTGCGCACTCTCAGACTGTGCTTCGGCGAGGGTGCCGCTCCCGCCTCCCGTGTGACGCCGTGCTGTTTCCAGATGGTGCGTCTGGCTCCCAGCGGGTGCCCTCCTGCCCCCAGGCCGCCTGCCTCCACCCACACCCTCTGAATCAGCTCACCTGGCTCCTGGGCTCTCTACTACTTCCTTACTGGTTTTTTTATAGACCTCCAATACAAACAGGCAAATACCGTGCCCAGTGAGCTCTCCTTCCTTACCCACCTTCAGACTGTGGTTCCTGGCTGTCCCCTGTGACGACGGCCTCCGTGTCCTCCCAGTCCTGCCTTCAGGCTCCTTGACAACGACCCCACCCACCCGTGCACGCGGGGTCACAGGGCAGACGGCGCCCCCCCACCCCGGGTTGTCCTCCCCTCGCTCCTGAGGCTGAATGACGCAGCACAGAGAATCCAGTGACAGTGTCTCAACACGCAGGGACCCTTCGCTGAAGACCCTGGGGTGAGGTGGGCACTCTTAGTCTCTTGCCAGGCACCTCCCTCCCGGCGGCCAGCACCATCCTTGCATCTGTCTCTCGGTCGGTTGGTCTGTCTGACACTGCAGCAGCTCTGCGCCCTGGGCCCTGCAGGTGCAGGATCCGGAGTGGGGGAGGGACGACACTTCCTCCTGCCTGAGTGTCTGGGTTCCATCAGGAGCTGCTTCTCCTTTCTCAGGCTGCTGCCCAGGCCATGTCCTTTCTGGGGACGGCAGGCCAGGGCTGCACCAGGACGCTCCCCGTGTGGAGAGGAAACCAGGCTTCAGACACAAGGGTTCCTTTCCCAGTTCTGTGCCTTACCCACAGGTAGCCCCGGTGCGACCCTTTGCTCGAGGGGCTCACCTCCCTGGATGGTAGTCCCGGCCTGAGGACTGCAGGAGTGAATGCCCGTGCCCAGCCAGTGCAGGGCACGGTGGCCCAGCATGGTAGCAGGACACTTTAGCGGGTCTGGGAACCTGCAGGCTCAGACCAACCCGAGCTGAGCCTGGCCTGGGGGCCCTCCTCCGAGGATGATGCTTCCCTCTGCACCCCAGGGGTGGAGCAGCCCCATCTCTGGCACCGCCTTGGCACCTTTCCCTCTCAGTCCCACCTCACTGCCTTTGCCAGTTCAGCCCCATTCCCTGGTACCACAGCCTGAGGGCCAGCCGCCTTTGTGCCTGGACCCTGAGCTTGCCCAGATGGGTGGTCCAGTCAGGCAGGGCTGCCCCGTGTGCCCTGAAGAATGGTGTCTGTCCCACCAGGAACCCGAGGAGTAGTGCCCAAAAAGGCACTGGCTGGAGCTTCTGGCTGCCATTGTTTGAGACTGTCCTGAGGACCCCTGCAGCCCAGGGGAGCCTGGAGTGTCCACCCCACGCATTTGCTTTCTCTGTAACTTGAGCAGGCTGCTTTGTTCTGTGGGCCTTAGTCTTTTACAGTTATTTCTGTAAAAATAAATAAATAACCCATTTCCAGTGGTTACTGCCTGGGTCACACTGACAAAGTGAGAATGGGCATTTTTATTTTGTTTTGTTGTTTGATATTTCAGACAGGGTCTCACTATATAGTCCAGGCTGAATTTGAACTCATTATGTAACCCAAGCTGGCCTCAAACTCACAGCAACTCCCCTGCCTCAGCCTCCCCAGTGCTGGGGTTACAGGTGTGCACCACCAGACTCAGCTTCTAGGACATTTCTCGAAGGCAGTGGACTTTGACGGGCAGTGCTTGGAAGGCTCCTCCTCGAGGGTGCGGGGAGCGGTGAGCTGGGTCCTCCCTCCCCCGCCCAGCAGTATTCCAGTTCCTGATGTCACATGGTTGCGCTGACCCTGTCAGGCAGGAAGCCGGGAGATAAGCAGGCAGGACTGTCCAGCACAGGAGAGCGGGGGTCCAGGAAGAGGGGTGCGGAAGGCCTGGTGGGGGGAGCACTGGGTGTTCGGTGGCCGCACGTGTGCCTAGACACGACCTCAGGGTTCCAGCAGTGCCAGTGCAGGAGCCTGCACACTGAGACACAGGGTGCTTGACTTGGCAGTGGGGCAGGATGTCCAGCCTGGCATGCCTGGGGCACCAGGCCACTGAGCAGCAGTCCTAGCCTGCAGGCTGGTCACACGACAGGCGCAGGTGCAGGGCAGGGCCTGACTCACACACCGCTGGCACACCTGGCAGGGCAGGCCACTGGGGCCAGCTGTACCCAGTCCACGGCAGAGGCAGGGAAGGCGCCCCGGGTGGGGCAGGACCACAAGGCATGAAGTGGGTGAGGGCAGAAAAGCTGAGGGTCTCCCAGGCATTTATCCTGGGGTGTGTCCTGGTGACCCTCCCGACTCAGCCTCTTGAGTGCTGGGATTACAGGCACGCACCACCACACCAGGCTCACATGTTCCTGTTGGCCCCTCTGCCAGCTCCCCTCACACTCACCTCCTGACAGCCCTGGAGGCCCCGGCAAACCGCAGGCCCCGTGTCTGTCCCTCCCCGTCCCGCGCTCAAGCCTCACCCCGTCCATGTGCAGCTCCGTCCACGGCACCTGCACAAAGTGAGTCCTGGGAGAGCGTGGCCTTCATCAGGGCACCCGGCCCCCCAAGTGTCTCCCCAGACAGCCCCAGGGACAGGCACCCAGGCGGCCGCCCCTGTGCACACGTCCTGGTCTCTCTGTGTGTCCAGAGGGGTTTTTGCGGGGAGGGGACACAGTTGATCCTCACTAGGGGCCACTTAGGACCCCACTAGTGTTCTGTGACTGATGTGACTGTCTCCTGGAGGGCTGAGGCAGGCAGAGTCCTCTCTGGACCCTCCAGTCTAGCTGGGGATTTTATGGCCAATGTGGGGATCCGTAATGGACAAGTGAACTCAGAGACAGAGGCCCCTAGCCACAGCAGGGAGGCTACCACTTCCAAGCCCTGCCCACGCTGGGGTTTCCAAACAAGTTGCATACCCACATTTCCCAAGCCTCAGTGCAGGCCTGTGGGAGGGAGATCAGGTCCAGCTTGCACAGGGCGGGGCAGGACTCTTGACTTTGCCCAGCAGAAGCTGTAGGAGGTCGGTAGACTTAGGTGGGGGCTGGGCTGCCGGGGAGCAGTGATTCACAGTGGCTCCTACCCTGCCGAGGGTCACAGAGAGCTGGCAGGGTAGGACCTGTGCATGTAGCTGCCGGTGCCAGGCACGGCATCGAGGCCACGTGGACCTGGCCCACCCCACTTCTGTCACAGCAGCAGGGCTGGGCAGAGAGCAGAGAGCCAAGGCAGGCGGCTCTGGTCGGCCCGGAGCCAGACCCTGGCATGCCCTGTCTCTGTCCTTGGAGGCCCCGCGCTCTCAGACAAGACACCTGTCTGAGCCCCAGCCTCTTTCAGTGCTAGTTAGGGATCGTCACGCCCACCCCGTATTTGACTGCGGACACGAGGATCCAGTGTGGGCAAGCCCACGTCCCAGAGCCGTCTGCACACACCGGGCAGATGCTTTTCGCGGAGGGCTGGCCCTGCGTGTCTGGTTAGAAGCCCTCCCCGAGGCCTGCCTGGTGATGGGAAGGTGAGCTACACACACGGGCAAGATCCGCACAGTGCTCAGGCGCAGGGACTTGGGGTCCTGAGCTGCCTGGGGGGTGTCAGCTGTGGGACCCCAGCTCTCCTCCAACGTCTCCCTTAGGCACGAGACGGCCCCTCCAGCAAGCCTCCCAGCCTGCTGTGCCCCGGGAGGCCTGCAGCTCCCTCCCCAGACTACTGGCAAGACCGCCAAAGGTCAGGCTCCCTTGGGTGCCCACCTCCAGGCACGGCTCCACCCCCCGCCCGCGCCCAGCTGCCCGGCTGCCCTTCTGCGCCGCCCAACTCAGCCAGTCGCTCCGGCCCTGCGGGCGGGCGCCGCTGCAGGAGGGCCCACGAGCGGCGTGTGCCAGCCCGAGAGGACGGAGAGGACAGCGGCCTGCGCCTGCGGCCCCGCCAGAGCTGCACCCCTAGGTCCCCTCCTCGGCCCCTCGGCCTTTCGGGAGCCCTGCTGCCGCGGCCGCCCTGGAGCCCCCGCCCG